CACTCCAGTTAAGATGCTTACTTTGTGTTTCAGAGCGACCAATTTTTTATGCCAAGGGGCCTGACGTCATGTCAAAATCGTCTTGCACACAGCGTCGATACAGGAAGAGCTGGAAGAATCAGACCAAACTTGAAAATTTCATCACTAGTTCCAATCGCACATCATCCACTCATGCACCATCCTCTCGCATGTCATCTCGCATGCCATCTCCACAGCGCACACCTCCTCCTGAAGACACCATGGGGATGGAGATTGAAATATTTCCAGAAGGTTCCCCTCAGCCCATCATCCCACGCAGACGGCGTGCATCTGCCAGCCCCAATCAGTTGTCCAACTCCCCATCTGACCATCTGGAGTCACCTGGAATAACACTGCTGTCCAGTGGTGCCATTACTCCAATTGATCTGGCTGACAATGTGGAGATTCTTGAAGCAGAGAAGGAGGTTATGGCAGAGGTTGAGAGCATGGACATGGACACAGAGCAGTTGGAGGCATGGGAAGATGAACTGGACGAAAATATTCAGGGCCCAAATGGCACCATGTGCCCATGGTCAGAGTTGCGGGAGAAGATCAGGAATGATATCAAAAAGGGCCAGAAGACACTCCCACTCTCCCATCTCAATTCATTGATGCTTGTGTTCAATTTTGCGACATTGCAGACCAAGGGACATGGATGCATCAGTGCAAGTCAGCAGGTCGCTGCAGGCTGGCACAAAGATCAAGGAGTCTGGTTTGCACGCTGAATCTGTGATTTAGCAAGACACTATCAAACATTTGAGACTCTCCCAGTCGAGCAGCATGGTGGGAAACATCTCAACTGCTCTTTCATTCATTGTGAGCAGGTTCGCACACCTGCAATTGAATTCCTTTGGAGTCTCCCCTCTGGCAAGGTTACACCCCGTGTCTTTGCCAATCAAGTGAACACCACCATTCTCCCTTCAGCTGGAATTCAAAACAAACGCCCCATCAGCCTGCACACTGCATGCCGCTGGCTTGTTCGCCTTGGGTGGACATATCTCATGTCAAGAAGGGTGTTTATGTGGATGGCCATGAGCATGAAGATGTTGTCAAATATCGGAATGAGATTTTTCTCCCTGAGATGGCAAAATTTCAGCGGCGTATGGCAAAGTATGTTGAGGTTGATGGTGAGGAGGTTCTGAAACATGTTGCACCCACGTTGGAGCAGGGTGAGTCTGAGCTCATCCCAAACTTCCAAGACGAGTCATGCCTGCATGCCAACGAGCAATCTTCCAGTGTCTGGTTAGTCACTTCTTCAACGCTTTGGATCTCACTCACAGTTTCACAGGATGGAAAAAGGAAAACAACCACTGCGGAAAAAAGGTTTTATTATCATGCATTGTGATTCTGTATGAAATATTTGTAACACTCCTTTATCAGGTCGTGGGAGGCTAATCCATGTCTCTGACTGGATAAACCCTGAGACTGGCCATTTGGTGATGCTTGATGCATCCACTGGAGAAGTTCTTCGTGATGCACGCAAGATCATCTTCCCAGGTGCCAATGGGGATCCTTGGTGGGACTGTGAACAGCTTCTGGAGCAGCTTGAAGAGGCCATCAATATCTTTGAAGCCACCCACCCAGGCAAGAAAGGGCTCTGGGTTTTCAATAACTCATCTGCACATGGTTCCTTGCCCCCAGATGCTCTGAAAGCATTTGAAATGAACAAGACAGATGGTGGTGCACAAAGGAAGCAGAAGGACACGGTTATTCCAATGTCAAATCCCGATCCCAAAAAGCGAGGAAGGAAGCAGAAGATGACAAATAGGAGTGGCCAGGCCAATGGTCTGGCAACTGTCCTCAATGAACGTGGATTCAAGAAGAATATCCAGGCAAAATGTCGGCCTGTATGTCCAATCGAGAACCAGGAATGCTGCATGGCCCGCTGGCTCAGCCACCAGGACGACTTCAAGAATCAGCCATCCATGATTGAAGAGCTCATCAAGCGATGGGGCCATGAAGTCATCTTTCTGCCCAAGTTCCACTGCGAACTCAATCCGATTGAAATGGTATGTCCCTTTTTAGCTTTCAACACCTCTGACAGTGTCATAGTATTGGGGATGGGTAAAATACTGCTTTCAGGAGAAGGATAAACCCAAATTTGAAGATGCAAAACTTATAGCAGTCAAGTATCTCGATGCATGTCCTGCAGAAGTCATTCGACACTTCATTAATCGGACATGGCGATGGATGGATGCTTACCACACAGGCTTAACAGGAGCAGCTGCTGTATGGGCAGTGAGGTGTCAGAAAAGTCATCGGTCAACTTCCAAGCATGCAATGGCTTCATTGGATGCAGCTGCAGTTTCAGGTAGGGGTGCCTAGGCTGGTGGAGGCTTGTTGAGGTACACACAATTTGGTGCTGAGTTGGCCAAATGTAACCACTCGTGGAAAAATTCGGAAAAATGGTATATAGGCTTATTTTAGGGTGCTGAATCTGAATATGAACTCAGTTTTTCATTTGAAACAAAACTCCATGTGCTACAGAAATTGATGACTTTGGGTGTCCTGGACTGTAGAATCCTGTGCACTGACTAAGACTGCACAGATTCCTAGTGCCTATTCCACCGGCCCAATCTTGTTCACCCCATATCTTGCTCATCCCCTTCTGATAGCTTTGAAGTGTTTTGAACCAAATGTGATGGTGTTAGGTCATATCTAGCGAAAAATGATATCATCACCAAAGGGCTGCCTACCTGGCCCTAGTCTACCCCCCAAAAAACCCACCACTTCAGTGCAGCCCTGCTTCCTTTATTTACCCCCCAAAAAATCACTGACTCCTGTATGCAGTCTTTGAACTATGCTCTGCGGTTTTGAAAAACTGCAGGCCCACACAATTTCTCTTCAAAAAGTTATAAAAGGTATCATACTTTGTCAATTTATCCCCACATGTTGTCAGCCACTGAGCATTGCTTACTTTTCCGTGGATTGATGTGGTGCAGTGGGTTGTGTCTCCTGACCCACTTCTTTATTTATTTTTCCCACAGCCCAATTGCTTCTTTGCCTGTCCAATGAATCCATAACTTCTTACTCAAGCCCAGCTACTGGCAATGATATCTTGCATGTCACAAATTCTGCATGGGATGATGGTTTATTCATCACCTTCGACTCATCTGGAGGGTGTATGGAAAGCTTTACACAAGCTTGGGCAGCCAGCACCACCAGTCTGCAATACTCCTGCTCTGATCCACCTGAATGAGAAGGCTGAGCTGGATCTCATACAACACCTCCAAGATGACTGCTACACTTTCATGGCCAAGAAGGCCCTCTGCAGGGTCAAGAAAAGATTGCTCTCTATTGAACTGTTTTTGAAAGCCATTGACTGCCTCATTAACCCCTGATCACCACTGGGATTTACTCAAAGTGTTTGATGGTATGGCAAAAACAGTAATGAAAGTCATTAGTAACTCTGGGCTGGGGGAGGAGGAAAATTGGTGGATGTTTCACTCCTTCATGTGAGTGCTCTACAACCTCGCTGTGCAGGACCAGTACTTGGAAGCAATGGAAAAGCCGCAAACAAAAATCAATGAGCTTTGTAAGTCTCAGATTATCAGGGTTTCTTGTTCATTTATGATTTGAAGGCTTGCACTTTAATCTACAGAAGTGTGTTGTGAAGGCCATGAAGGTTGAGGGAGCGGTGTTGATGCTGTGCCATCTTGCACTGTCGCCATGCCACAGTTGCCCCCCCTGTGCTCAACATCTCACTTCCAATCTTTAGCTTTGATCCCTTTCTTCCCTGGGAAATGGAGCTCTTGAAATTCCACAAGCTCTTATGCAAGCATGTAGCATCCTTCTCCAACAGTCATGTCCTAGTTGCCACAAAGACATATTCTGAGTTCCAGCTTGTTGTGACACTCACAGGTAACATCAAGCTCCTGAGCACCACCAAGCTGGTGCCTTATGTTTCATGTTCAAAACTGAACTGTCATCTGTGGCTCAAAGCTTTCAGCATACATGGAACCAAAATTGCATATGATGGAAGTCATGGTGGCCTTAAGCTGGGATCGAGGCCACCAATCTTGCTGAATGCAGTCTAGCATCCCATTACTGCAGCTCTCCAAGAGAATCTGGAGCTATTTCTGTGTTTGGCTGTACATGGGAAAAATGCATCTGCATCAACCACAGTGAGTTCTAAACCCCCTACAATGGAATGGGTCCAACCAGAAGAAGTTATCAGGAGTAAGTTTATATTATTCATCAGCATGTCGGTACTGACAACACACCAGTGGCACATCATCAGGAAATGGTATGCAAAACCTGGCTGAAAGATTACCCATGAATTATATTCTTATAAAAGCATACATACACTGACGAACCCGACGATCAGACCTCATCAGAGACAGCCCAGAGAGCTAAGATATCTACTCTCACTGGTTGAGTGAATCAAGTTTTTCAGGCCAAATATTGAGGAGAAAGTCCAAGCATCCCAATATGTATTTTGCTGGTAGCTGCACTAAATTGAAATCAGAACCATCTACCAGAGGATTATGATGCAAAATTAAATCTTGAATAATACAAGTAGAAGATGGTGAATTAGAAATGTAGATGTCAGTGCTGTATTGTTGGCAAAATCCATCTGGCTAATTTGGCTTTGAGCTATCACAAATAATTCTTTTCAAGCTGAACAATTACAGCTAATTACTGAAGGCAGCCAAAAAAATTCCATCTTGAGTCAATTTTGATGGTATTCAAGGAAGTGCTCATAACTCAATGAGTTCTATATTTATTGACCCAAAATGTAGATATAATTGACAGGCTAATTCATGTGTAAGAGTTCCTTATACTGATGATGGCAGGATAGTGCGGCAAACCCCTGAGATGGCTATGTTGATGGAAGTCTAAATGATCCCATCAACTTGTGAAGGATTACATAATAATTTACAATCTGCATCCACTGGTACAAATATCATGCCAAAATTATATAACTTTTGAGTCCCCTGTAGAAAGATGGTTATATTGTTGCCATGGCAATGCTATCATACAGCATCATGGCGCAGATGGAAGCGCGCGGGGCCCATATCTATCACGTGATTTACGTAAGCTCTGGTACCCCGAGGTCACTGGATCGAAACCAGTTGATGCTATTTTTTTTACATTATTAAAAGTAAGCTAAGAGCCTGTTCGAATGACTTTTGGAATATGTGCACATTTCCTTATATAGTATGCTGCACATATGCAAAACACATGTGATCTCTGTGACCTTGTGCGACTCTCCGCGCTTTTTTACATCGTGTCGTGCTGCAGCACCAGCCTCAATGGCATCGATAGAAGGGAGTATACCGCCGGACACTGAGCCTCCCACTCCACTCCCTCCTACTCTTCCTGAATCTGGGAATGCTGTCTGGACCACCACCGATGTAAAGGCTTTTATTGAATTTTTGGTGACGAAAAAAGCCACTGCTGGGGAGGGAGGATTCAAGGCTACAACCTTCTGTCTGGCGAGCTTCAGTTTGAATGCTAAGCGGACCCATGGTGGGCCCAAAACCGGCAAATCCTGTGGTCAGAAATATCAGGGGGTATGCTTAATTCACCGGACATGCACTCCTTTCAATGTCTAATTTTTTCTGCAGCTCAAAAAGGTCTGGCTCATCATCAACACTATCAAGGGCGTCTCCGGCTACACCTGGGATGACATTAAGGGTGTCAATGTCACTCCTGTGTTGGAGGGAACCTGGGATGCCTATGTTGCGAAGAATCCGGAGGCGGCATGATTCCGCAACAAAGGCTGGCCCTTCTACAATCTCATGGCACCCCTGATGCCAACAACTGCGAAGGGTGCTCACGTCTACTGCCCCACCACTGCTCTGACCCCGTCTCAGCCGCCATCCACTCCTCCGGCATCTGCACCTGCTCAATCTAGGTCCCAAAGCCTGCCGTGGGATGAGTCGCAAATGCAGCGGGATTTTGGCACCCAGCCTGAGGGCGACATAGATGACGACGAACATGAAGGAGGAGCTGCTGGAGCAGACGAGGGTGACAATGACAATGATGATGACAATAATGTATGTCTACCTATTTTTACTGTGTTCCTCCTCCTGCTACCCGTGGCACCAAATGTGTCACTGCTCAGGTTACCCCAGCCTCCTATTGCAAAAAACCGAAGCTCTCTGGCGGGGCCCGCACTCTGGAAAGTCTCGCCTTGTTAGCAATTGGTTTCAATGATTTGTTTGGAGATCTATGTAGAACCCTTGCTGCTCCTGCCCCCGCTCCAACATTGATGTCGGCATCGACTATAACAGCGCCAGCTCCTGTCTTTCAATCGAGTCCTCAACGCCGAACTGACATATCATTCTTGCACAGAAGGAGACTTGGCTTTTGGCCATGGAACATCTTGCACTTATCAAAATTCTTCGCAATGTCACCAAAGCAGATGTATACAATGCTCTTCTCACTGATGACATCCGCATCCCATGGATACTCGATGAGCTGAACGAAGTCGGGCTTATTGTATTCCACCCTTTACATTTGAATCTCGACCTTTCTTTTTAGTTTGCAACATTGTTTGTAGTACAAACTAATCATACTCCTCATGCTTCACCACGCTCCTGGAGCAATTGTTGGGAGCTTTGCCACATTGCCTCCGCAATAACATCGTGCCATGCCTCTGATCTCTCTTTCTCCTGTTCTGTAGTGGCGCCCTCAGTGAGGACACCAACATCTGCACGCAGTCCTGGATATGGGTCCTCAACCTCCATCTTGCAAATGTCATCACACTCAACAGGGTCAAGCTTCATAATGAAATTATGTAGAGCTACCATCTCCAGAAGAATACGTTGTGAGGGCGACTGTAGCGTCGCTTTGGAAAACGAGGTTCCAAAAGTGACTTGTTCTCCCTCTGGGGGCTTTTTCGTTTAAGTTGGGTTCGTATAGAGTTTGTGAGAGAAGATAGTTGAGCAGCGTTTGTCCGTGGGGATCTGTTGGGGGTCAAAAATGGGGGATAACGTGAAAAATACCTTGTTCAGATGTGCACACCGCGTGCACTACTCCGAGACAGTATCCAAGTCTCTGCTTTGTCTCTCTTCTACCGCCTTTCCCCATTGAACTGGGTGATAGTTGATTCGACTGGCTTTCCCAAAGGTGGGATGACCGCAAATGGCTCGACGAGGGCCTAACGGTTCAACGTGGGTACGGCTCACGAAGGACGTGAGTATGCCTTGATTCGTTCCTCTCTGCGTGAGCAGCGGTTTGCGAGGTCAAGGGGACGGGTTAGTGTGGTTAGATGTTCAGTATGAATCGTCTGGAGGATGTGTGGTCAAGTGTCTTTCGACAAGTTAGTGGGTTAGTGGTGTGGTGTGTGCGTGGGTCAACAGTATATTGGGGGGATTGGTTTACACTAGAGAACTAGTGGGGGAAAAACCGCTCCAAAGTGAACTGTCTACTGCTTTGAGACCCAGATCCTTTTATACTCTGCCAATAACCCCTTTGGACCTTCTCTACATGTCCACAGTCCGCTCCCTCGGCGTTCCATAACGATCTAGCCCCATGGCGGTGTGCTTGCACCATGTTTCATCCCACCGAGTTATGGTGCTCGTCGGAGGAAGTTGCCTTTTCGGGCCCAAAAGTTGTTGGGACGCAATGCCCGACAAACTGCTACCTTCCTAATCCGTCCGAAGTCCGTGCGGATACGACGTCCTGAGGCTGAAAAGAGGTGAAATGTGTGCGATATGTCGGCGTGAGCATGTTGGAAATGCTGTGCGCTCCGGCGGACGATCCTGTTATGGACGAAGGCGCTCCCATCTGCCAGATGTCGTTGGAGGTGCGCCATCCGCGATGCAAGGTGCAAGAACGGCATCTGAAATGTGTAGATGTGGGCGTGGTGAGTGCGGGTGGTGAATCTGGGTGTTGTGGCCGTGTCGTTGTATTCGCTGGGGCGGACACAACACATGTGGCAGCCCCACAACGTGCTTGGATATCCATGTCATATTCAGGCGGCCAAGTGAGGATGGCCCATCTGTTCTTGATAACTCCAAAAATTCTCTCGACAACATTCCGTGCTTGGGTGTGTCGCAAATTGAAAAGCTCCTCACGGTTGTGGGGTCTAAGAATAGAATGAGTAATGGTTAAATGTGATAAATGGGACGTACCGGACACTAGCACGGCCCCATTCTGCCAAATGGTAGTGCTGCCCTCTGTAGGGAACAAGGCATACATCACAACTGCCGAAACATGCATCTGCAAGGTAGTATTTTCCCTCAATGACTGTGAGATCAGTGAGTCGGGCATTGAGAAAAAGTGAGAATGTACAGAAACTCCATGTCTTGGGAGCAACAAACAAGGCAGTTCATTGATACACCGCCTTTGCAGTTGCGCGATGCTTGTCTGTCTGCAGCCGAAGGTGCTGCATTAATGTGCGTGCCGTCCATTGAGCCTACTGCATCAGAAAACAAGGGATAAAACTTCGGATTAGAGCGGATAGACTCAGAGACGGGGTCATCTGCTGAAGCGAGTCGGACATATTGTGTATAAAAGGGGGGGAGATGAAGTGGCGACTAGAATCCAGCGGAGGTATCTGGTATTTATTTAGTATCTTGTACTATGGGAGAGACAGAATGAAAACTTACTTGGAAATAGTCTCGTTTGAATGCTGAAAACCGCTCACCGACATGTCGAATTGACAAGCCAGTGACACAAGTGTAGAGAAAAATCGCCACTTGTTCTTCGAGAGTGATATATTTTGAGTCAGTCAATCCCAGAACCCAAAGTTGAGCGACAATGGCAAGATATACATGCAATCACATGCCCAATTCCGATTTAATACGGTTGGGATGACCCACAATAAGCTCATCAACCCATGCCTGACTGCTCAAAGCTGAGGTGTGATATTTTTGTTTCCAGTACAAGGGGCTGGAGTAGAGGAGAACAGCCAGATGCAGGCGGTGCCAAAAGTAAGCTGCTGCCAGCATAAGGCGCACCTGAATGTCATGCATTGTCGGGGGCATAGTAGCAGGACACGTACTTATGCTGTGGGGCTCCCACACACATGTGTACACCCCAGTGAATGCTACCAAGCAGGGACGACACAAGATCATCCGGAGATACGCTCTGGCGAGAACGACCACCAGCGAGAGTTCACTGATCTCCGTTACATATTGCCAAATGCAGCAACATCACCCAGAGTCCACCGAACTCTTCGCCTAAAAACAACTTCCGCACGTTGACCAGCGACTCTTTCCATGATACCTTCCACACATACGAGGACACCCACACTACGACTCTTGACATCGCTACACGACACTTGCTGCACGATACCCCCACACATATTGTCGACTTCCTTGCCCAAAACGATCCTACTTACCAAATTGGGATTTAGCTCCGAGAGTTCGCTGAACTCTTCAATCCACAATGATAACCCCAGCTCTTGACGAATGGGGAATGACACGTACGACTCCATCCACATTCAGAACACGTTCACACACCAGACCACGCACTGCGGCCCCAGTTGCCCTTGTTTCTCAGACGTATCGACTAATCCAGACCTCCTCCGCACCACAAGACCTCCCAATGGAGCACACTGCGACACGGGAACAGTTTGGACATCCGCATTCGATATTTAGCAGTGCTCCATGTGATCGCCAAGCCAAGAGGTCGATGAACTCTAGGGATTTTGGCGTGAAAAGCCTCAGAGTTCGCTGAACTTTTCAAAAATCTGAAACCCAAAAGAGCAGCGAAACACACAATATGTCGGGAACGGTCCTGGGAGCGGTTCTGGAAGGAGATAGAGACGAGGTATAAAGGGTTCTGGGTAGCGTAGCAGTAGAGAGACAACTACGGAGCGGTTTTCCCCCACTAGCTTCTAGTGTACCAATCCCCCTCAATCAAATTGTCCACCACACACACACTTCTACAGTCGAAAGACTCTTGCTACATCATCCTCCGAGTGCTTCATACAAACATTCATCCACCACACACACACACACACATTGAACTCTCAATAATTCGTGTCGCCACAAATACCGAGGGCGCTGTTTGTAAGACCCGTAACAAATCGCGGATCGCCCACTCAGCAACATTGCTCCACCACCGTTAACGAGTTCTACCACCGTTGACAAGCAACCTGTGTCAAGTCACCATAGCCAACCCACCT